TGAGATGTCAGTACAATGTTTGGATTGTAATGTAGTTTTCCAACAAACTGGCTGTTCTTACTGTGCAAGCAGGGCTAGAGAGACCCCTCTAAAATGAAGGCACAGCACACAGATGTTGTAGCTTGCAAGAAGCTCTGATTGTAGGTGGCCAGAGAACTACCTCTCAAAGGTAGGTACTGCCTCTCAAAGAGGAGGTGTGCTGTAATTTTAACAGGGGATTGATCCTCCACTTCTGGAGATGAATGCTTAGCTGGCAATGCCTTGTTTGACAACAGATAGGAAGCAGGAAGTTCTCCTGTGGAAGGAGTTATTACCAGTTTAGTAAACTTGCACAAAGCTGGGATTGTGCAAGGAGAGGGGAAAGAGACAAGGCTAGCAAGCCTTGCAAAATGGACTTGAAAACAGCACTTGAATCTGTGCCAGCTATCGCATTTGACTGTAGTGTTTTGTTTTCTGGAATAGCAAACGCTTGTGTTAGTTCATCACATTAATTCTTTTTCTCTCTCTTGTCCTACTTCCCAGCTCTTGCAAATCCATTGCAGCTTCTTGCAGCCCAGGCCAGCTCATCCACTCCTGTTGTAGTCAGCCGGGTGTGTGAGACAGGGACCGAAGAGACAGCAGCAGCCTCTTCCAGTGAACCTGAAGTCAAAAGACCCCGGATAGAAGAGTCCAGTGGAGCAGTCCCAGCCCAAACTGGAGTCATCACGTCTACAGGGCCACAAGGACAGGCAACCAGTGAATGAAGAATTGGTGAGAGGAGCTGGAGTGATGCAGGGTGGGCCTGGGATGGCAGCAGCCCCTAAAGCAGCTTTCAAAGAAAACAAACCACAACTGTAACAGCGCAAAACATAGCGAATAAAGAGCTCTTTTTAAAGCTGGATTTTTAAATGGGAGGTCAACAACTGATAGAATCACAAGGTGCCAAAAAGAATGGAAAACCCCTCCCAAGAACCCATACCTGGAACTCTTCTGTCTTTACCTATGGAATATTTTTCCCTTTTTTTTTTTTTTTAAAAAAAATTCAAAAAATACAGACAACTGATTTTATGACTGCTGGGATATTTTTAACTGTCTTTTCCCCTTTTGGCTCCAAGGGGATGGGATTTGCAGTTCAGCACCTAAAGGAATGTAACACAAATACAGTCTGCTCCCTGGAAAAAAACTCCTCATTTTCTATGCCTTAATACTGTGCTTCTCAGAGCTTTGAAACATAGGACCATTTTAAAAAGGCCACCTAAGGCAATCAAATGTTGAAAGATGGGTGCAGTATCTCACAACAACAGCATTAAAGAAACATGGTACCAAACTTAAAGAAAAAGGCAAATTATTTTCTTTTTTTAAAGCAGAAAAATTCTGAATATGAATGAATGTTTATTTATGTGGGGATTCAGGAGGAAGAGCTACAAGGCTCAACCACCTGCATTTCCAGATGCAATTTCTCTTCATTCCCTCTGAGGGAGAATAAGATGACAGGGGAACTGTATTAATTCAGTTCCTGTAAAGATGTTAAAAACAAAGGGGTTTGTACCTTCAGTGATTTCTTACAATTATTCATTACTTGCTCTGGACAACAGCCAAAGTATCTTGATGACTGAGGATCACATGGGGAAGGGAGTCTCCAAAAGGTTCTGTGTGCATTTGATTGATTACATCCTGTGCTGGAGCACCAGATTTTGTTCAAAATAGCACTGTAGGTGAAGACATAGCCGCTGTCTCTGATCTTGAGAACATTACTGGTTTGTCTTCTGCACTAGGGCAGTCTGCCTTCCTCGTGTTGGTAGCGTGGTCCTCAACTACCTGGACGATGGTCAGGAGGCCAGGGGCTGGTTTGGAGTCCGTCACTGACCCTCTGCCATGGCTAACAGCAAGGCTTCTGTGGTGTTCTTCTGAGGGGAGTTGAGAGCTGGGGTGAGAGGCTGCAGAGTTCATACAGCATTTAATACAAATTCTGTAAGTGTGTAGAGACCAAGGCAAAAGAGGCCTTTCACTTTCCATGTGACAGAAGCCACTGGAGATCTTACACTGGTTTTCCAAAAGGAATTTGGAGGTTTCCTTTCATTGCTTAGCTCCCTCTCCCACCTCTCCTCCCTTGAGGACCATTTGAGTTGGCCAATAGGAGGAGGCTTTTAGTCAAACTGAATTCCAGGCCCTTCACGTAGTAAGTCTTATGAGTAAAGTGGATTTGAGTCACTTCAGCCACATGTAACGGTGGGTGGGTGTGATGCCTTGTGACTGGCAAAGAAACCAACCTCTGCGTAGCCTTCAGCTAACCCCTTTGGTTTTACATCTCTTTGCGATTCCCCTTGGCTAAGTGTCTTCTGGCAGCACAGCGGAGGTCTTTTGATTTAGGAAATGTTATGGCTTTGGTAATGGCAAAAGAGACTTAAGAGGGATGGGATATGCCTCTGGTAGGTTATCTCCCTATCTGTACTGATTTATTGTCAGGTTGCTGTCTTGTACAGTCTGACAATGCTATCGCAGAGCAGAGAGGCGAGCCTGCTACATAAACATGTTGCAAAAAGATTTCCTCAACGTGCAGTGAACGATACTGTCACGGGGATTAGGGGGTAGGGCACAACCGTTCAGTGTCTGCTGGAATTTGGGCAGGGGGAGGAAATCTGCAAGGTAACGGCTGGCAGCACTGCTTCCCTTCGAGGTTTCCTTTCTCTTTGCCAAATCCTATTCAATAGCCAAGTCCCACCACTTGAATAAAACCCAGCCATGTTTTATTCTCAAGCCAATTGTTTTGTGAGAAATAATTCTGAAACAAGGAAAGAATTTCTTGGTCTTGTGATTTCTGGTTACTTTCTGCAGTTAGAGGCCCACAAAAAATTCAGGACAGTTCGTTTATCTACAGGGAGGCTTTCAAAACTTAAGTGTGTACCTTTAGTGACAAGTTATTAGATTGGATTTTAGTGCTTTGAAATGGTTTTGTGAAGGAGGATTGTTACAGACCACAAAGTAATGGAAGCAGGCCAGCCTCCAGCTGTCACTTTTCCTGCTAGGAAAGCTAGGTGTGGCATAGCACAAAAGCACCAAGATTAGCTCAGTTTTCTGTAGCCTTTTCAAAGCCGGATTTCAATAAAATGGACTTCAAGGAAGAACGCGCAAGTGAGAGTGCAGCATGGTTTATCTGTGATTAATCGTTACTTTTGGGTGACTGCTGCTTTAGATACAGGCACGCCTCTGAAACAGCCCTGGGGCTAGGGAGCTTTCCTGAAGCAGAGGACTCTTGGGTTTCCAGTACATGGGGTGAGTCAGCGCAAGATGAGCAACCAACGGAACACTGTTCAGGATGTGAAGCTGCCAAAGTTTTGTGGATTTTTCTTTACTGCGGCCTTTCTCTTGGAAAGTCTAAATAATTAGGCCCCAAAGTTCTGCAATTTAATCCAGCACCATAGAAATACATCAGCTGAATGACAGTGTTTTCATACACCAGCTGCTGCTTTATAGATACCTCTTGGAAGTCCATCCTCAGGTTGCGCATATAGATTTGCCTCCTCAGTATTTAGAACAGGGTAATTCTTTCAGTCTTCCTTCTGTGGCTCACGATGCCCATTGGTTAACATGCGAGTTAAGGATAAGCAAATGCCTTTGATCTTCACCCTTTCTGCTTGAGGTGTCTGGAACCTGTGTGTTCATCCTATCAGGGGATTTTGGGGTTATCAGTCTGCTGCATCTCCCTGCTACTGTAGGAAGCAGCCGTGCCACTTAAACTTTTTTTTTTTAAGGTTTGCCTATACATTGCCATATTGATGCCTGATACTAGGTACAAGAACAGTTCTTACTAAACCCTGTTGAGAGCTGTGGAAAAATGTGGTCCTCATCTGGAATACATGAGAGGTGGGGACATCATGTTTCAGGCCTCCAGATTAAATCTTCAACACACTGTTCAGTCTAGAAAACAGCACCACGGTGTTTTACATGGGTCCTGGTTCCCCAGGCTTTCAGTTTTGAGCACTGCGGAGGAATGGAAATTAATGTGGTGGTAGAATTAAGCTTTCAACTGAAGAAAATGTTACTTTTATAGTTCTATGTAGTACTTGGATTATTTAAAATTTTATCACTTTTTTTTTTGTCTAAAGTTGCATTTCATGTCCTCAATTAGTAATATTAACTGAGGTTTGAGGGGGAGAGGAGTAGGAGGTTTCACTGCATCTTCTGCTGTCTCTATAATGATGGTAGAGGCATGTTGAATATTCAATCTGCTGTGGCTTGGACCTGCGAAAACTTTAAGTGTGAATTCACTTTTCACCATGGCCTATTGATTTTTTTTTTTTATTATTTTTTTTTCCCCTCCCATCTTGGGCAGTGACAAAGACTAGCTTACTTTGATTACAGTCAGTTAATAGCAGCTCTCATTGCTTCAGTTTGCAAAAGCCGAATGTAGTTGTTCTTGGTTTTATTCCACTGGAATTCCTTAGTTATTGTTTTGTCTTGACCTTGGCTCTTGTGATGCAGAGAGCTTTTTACAGTGAGACCAATTTAATGTGATGTAGTGATAACACAACACAGTGCTGAACACAGAATGGAAGTTCTTGATTAGCTCAGATATTCTTCAACACATTTTCCTTCTCATGTTTGTCCCCCCACATGCTGTTAACGCTGTCCCCTGTAGCATATACAGTCATTTTTATCCACTGACGGGAGCAGCACCTTGCATTAAGCTCTGCACAAGGACTCAAGGATGAAAATACCTGTGGGATGCATGGGGCCCCGGAGCCGGTTGAGAAAGGTCAGTCTGGTCGCTACGTATTTAATTTTCATGCTGTGTTTTAATTCTGTTACTGCTGGACACAGCTTGTTCAGGAGAGTCTTTTCAGAGACATGTGAAAGCTTTGTAAGAAGAAAGAAATAGTTAAATAACAGCTGAAGCCTTTAAAATGCTTCTGCAATCAATACCATGGTCTGGCTTGAGGTTTTTGGGAGAGTAAACTTGATTTTCCATGTTTTAGACATATGTCTTGTGTACAAGACTAGAACTGTCATTCTGAGTTAACTTCCACATGTTTTCTCCCCCTTTTTCAGTAGAAGGAAATGCCAGCAGTAAAATAAGACTTGAAGCACAGAAAGCTAGGGACCTAGATCTAAACAGGTGCAAGCACCCGACCTGAGCTCTCATACAGTGTGGTGTGGAACACTTTTCACTGGCCGCTGGAGAAGTTAAATTGAAGTTAGAGCCTTTCATCTGTGTTAGCAAGGAGGTTTCCCAGTGAGATACTTGGTATCGCTCTGATATGTGCAAGCATGTAGATGAATGTCAAAATGTGGGATGAAAGGAGAAACGTCTCCCTGCAATACTTAGGTTTGGGGATCTTGCATGACAAGGATTTAATCAAGTGATAGTTCTGTACCTTGCTATAGAGGATCAAAAGGTATTTCTTCAAGCTTATTGTATTGAAGGATTAAATACCAACTGGTTGGTTGTTCCATCTTTGTTTCTCAGGTTTAAACTGTGACTTATAAATTGTAGTTTATCCCTGATGAACATAGATCACATAAAACTTTAGTATTAGGGAAGCTCAGATCTCTTGTCTGTTTGTTGTCTCTGCCATTAGCCAGTTGTAGCTGTGCAGAAGCATAGAATATTTGAGTTGAAAGAACCCAAACCTTTGGACATCTCTTCTACAACCTCCAGCTCAGAGCAGGTCCAACTAGATCACGTTGCTATGAACTTGTCCAGTCGGTGGAGGTTCCATGGCTCTGGTCCCTGTTCCACTCTGACTACTCACAAGGTGAAAACTTTTCTCACCTATCTGAGTATTTCCCATGCAGCTGCATGTGTTCATTGCCTCTCGTCCTACCGTGTCACAGCTCTGCCTTCTCTGCATCTTCCAGATAGGTAATTGAAGACACTGGTAAGACTTTTTTTTTTTTCTCCTTTTGCTTTCCTTAAGGCTGAACCAACCTGGTTGTCTCAGTCTCTTCTTGTATGTCACCTCCTTAAGCCCCCAGCAGAGCAGGTGGAATTGCTGCAGAAGATCTCTGATACTGGGGAGCCCAAAACTGGCAACAGTACTCTAGATACAGTCTAGCAAATGCCAGATGAAGTAGAAGAATCGGTTTCCTATGACCTGCAAGCTACAGTTTTGCCAGTACAGCCCAGTACCTGTTCGGTCTGCTTTGCTGGAAGGTGCCCTGCTGGCTCACCTTCAGCTGC